GGCAATGAAGATGCTGATGATAGCAGCATCGGCCTTCTCCCGTTTCCGGTACTTTTCAACGGCTTCCTCGTACGCCCTCATGTTAGTATCATTAGCGGATTCGGTCGGCTCACGGGGGATTGGGGGCTGTTTTCCTTGCCACAGTTGAGGAGGGCGTCCTTGAGATCCAATCCTTGCACGTCACGACTCAAGAGGTGCCTGTCAACCCCATAGCTCCATGCCTTGAAGTTGGAGCTAGAGCCATCGGCTTCAAGGCGGAATGGGGTGATAGGGTTGGCCATGGTGGACGAGGCAAATGCCATGATGAAGAACCCTTAGTGTCTCGCGCGGAGCGCCGCTCTTAAGTCACCGATAAGAACTTGAGGTTTGGGGTTTCCGAAGAAGATTTTGAAGAACTGGAGGTTTAGGGTTTACGAAAAAGAACCCTTGGTTTAGGGTTTAGGGTTTCTGAAGGCTAAACCTTGAAGGTGACGCTGCAGGGCGACGGGCGGCGGCCCGACGAGAAGCTGCGGGGGGACGGACGGCGGCCCGCCGAGAAGCTGCGGGGCGACGGGCGGCGGCCCGACGAGAAGCTGCAGGCCGACGGGCGGCGGCCCGACGAGGAGAAATCTGCGATTTGGTCCTGTGGACCTATTGAAGCAATCTGCGAGTTGGTCATGTGGACCGGTTGGACCAACAGGCATGTTGGTCCTATGGACCTGTTGGACCGGCCAGTTGGTCGCATGGACCAGTTGGACCAACCGGCCTGTTGGTCCCATGGACCAGTAGGACCAACCGGCCAGTTGGTCCCGTGGACATGTTGTACTAACCAGCCAGCTGGTCCCTTCGACCGGTTGGACCAACTGGCCAGTTGGTCCTATGGACCGGTAGGACCAACCGGCCTGTTGGTCCCATGGACCTGTTCGACCAACATGCCAGTTGGTCCAATGGACCAGTAGGACCAAACGGCCGGTTAGTCCTGTAGACCGGTTGGACCAACTGACTAGTTGGTCCTGTGGACCGGTTGGACGAACCGGCCAGTTGGTCCTATGGGCTGGTTGTTCCAACCGGCCTTTTGGTCGTGTGGATCGATTGGACCAACCCGCCAATTGGTCCTACAGACCTGCTGGACCAAAAGGCCAGTTGGTCCTGTGCACCAGTTGGACCAACCGACCTGTTGGTCGTGTGGACTGGTTGGACCAAGCAGCTAGTTGGTCCCATGGACGGGTTGGACCATCCGGCATGTTGGTCCCATGGACTGGTTGGTCCAACATATCTATAGGACCAACGGGCCAGTTGGTCCAACAGGCCCATAGGACCAACTGACTGGTTGGTTCAACCGGTCCATGGGACCAACAGGTCGATTGGTCCAACCAGTCCATAGGGCCAACAAACGGTTGGTCCAACTGGTCCATAGGACCAACAGTCAGGTTGGTCCAACTGGTCCATAGGACCAACAGTCAGGTTGGTCCAACTGGTCCATAGGACCAAGAGGCCGGTTGGTCCTAACAAGCCTGTTGGGCCAATACGCCAATGGGACCATCTGGCCGGTTGGTTCAACAGGTCCATGGGACCGTTAGGTGGGGTGGTCCAACTCGTCAGCAAGACCAACTAGTCTGTTGGTCCAACCCGTCCACAGGTCCAACGGGCCGGCTGGTCCAACTGGTCCAGAGGACCAAAAGGTCAGTCGGTACAACCGGTCCATAGGACCAATTGGCCGGTTGGTCCAGCCGGAGCATTGGACCTACTGGCTGGTTGGTCCAATTGGTGTATAGGACAAACAGGCCAGTTGGTCCAATTGATCCATAGGACCAACTGGCTGGTTCGTCCAACCGGTCCAAGGGACCAACTTGCCAGTTGGTCCGACCACTCCACAGGGCCTATTGGACGGTTGGTCCCACCGGTCCATAGGACCAACAGGACGGTTGGTCCAACCGGTCCAAGGGACCAACTGGCTAGTTGGTCAGACCGGTCCACGGGAAGAATTGGCCGGTTGGTCCAAGCGGTCCAGGGGACCAACAGGCCGGTTGGTCCAACCTGTCCATGGGTCCAACTAGCCGGTTGGTCCAACCAGTCTACAGGACCAACTGGTCTGTTGGATCAACCGGTCCACAGGACCAACGGGTGGGTTGGTCCAACCACTCCATAGGACCAACACTTCGGTTGGTTCAACCAAAGCATTCGACCAACTCGAAAGATGGTCCAACTGGTGCATAGGACCAACAAGTCGGTTGGTCCAAGAAGTCCATAGGACCAACTGGCCGGTTGATCCAACCGGTCCATAGGGCCAACTGTCCTGTTGGTCCAAGCGGCCCATAGGACCAACTAGTCAATTGGTCCAACCGGTCCATAGGACCATCAAACCTGCTGGTCCAACAAGTCCATTGGACCAACGGGCCAATTGGTCCAACAGGTCCATTGGACCAACTATCCGGTTGGTCCAACAGGTCTACAGGACCAACTGTCCAGTTGGTCCAACCGGTCCATAGGACCAAGTGGCCGGTTCGTCCAACCGGTCATTAGGACCAACGTGCCGGTTTGTCCAACAGGCCCATGGGCCCAACTGTCTTGTTGGTCTAACCGATCCATGGGACCAACTGGCCGGTTGGTCCAACCGGTCTATTGGACCAAGTCATGTTGGTCCAACCGGTCCATAGGACCAATGGGCGGGTTGGTCCAATGGGCGGGTTGGTCCAAACGGTCCATAGGACCAACAGATTCTGGTCCATGGGACCAATGGGCCGGTTTGTCCAACAGGTCCATAAAATCAACTGTCTTGTTGGTCCAAACGATCCACAAGACCAACTGATCGCTTGGTCCAACTAGACTATTGGACCAAGTCATGTTGGCCCAACCGGTCCATAGGACCAACTGGCCGGTTGATCCAACAGATCCATGGACCAATTGTCCTATTGGTCCAACCGGTCCATAGGACCATCTGACCCGTTGGTCCAATCGGTCCATGGGACCAATGGACCTGTTGGTCCATGAGACCAATGGACTTGTTGGTCCAACCGGTCCATGGGACCAACAGACCAGTTGGTCCAACCGGTCCATGTGACCAAGTGTCCTGTTGGTCCAACCTGTCCATAAGACCAACTGGTCGATTGGTCCAACCGGCCCATTGGACCAACAGACCTGTTGGTCCAACTGGTCCGTGGGACCAACGGGCCGGATTGTCCAACAGGTCCATGGGACCAACTGTCTTGTTGGTCCAACCGGTCCATAGGACCAACTGGCTGGTTGGTCCAACTGGTGCATAGGACCAATTTGCCAGTTGGTCCTACCGAGCCATTGGACAAACTGGCCGATTAGTCCAACCGATCCATTGGACCAACTCGATGGTTGGTCCAACCAGTCCATAGGACCAATGGGTCGGTTGGTCCAACAAGTCCATAGGACCAACTAGCCGGTTGGTACAACAGGTTCATGGGACCAATTGTCCGGCTGGTCCAACTACTCCATAGGACCAACTGGCCGGTTGGTCCAACCACTTCATAGGACGAACTAGCCAGTTGGTCCAACCGGTCCATAGGACCAACTAGCCATTTGGTCCAAGCGGTCCATGGGACCAATTGTCTGGTTGGTCCAACGAGTCCGTAGGACCAACTGGCCTATTGGTCCATCCGGTCCATAGGACCAACTTGCCGGTTGGCCCAACAGGTCCATAGGACCAACTGTCCTGTTGGTCCAACCAGTCCATAGGACCAATGGTCTGGTTGGACCAATAGGTCCATGGGACCAACTGTCCGGTTGGTCCAACGAGGCCCTAGGACAAACTGTCCAGTTGGTCCAACTGGTCCATAGGACCACCTGTCATGTTGGTCCAACCGGTCCATAGGACCAACTGGCTGGTTGGTCCAACCAGTCCATTGGTACCAACGGGCCGGTTGGTCCAACATGTCCATGAGACCAACTATCCGGTTGGTTCAACCGGTCCATGGGACCAACTAGCCGGTTGGTCCAACTGGTACATGGGACCAACAGGCCGGTTGGTCCAAGAGGTCCATGCGACCAATTGTTCTGTTGGTCCAACCAGTCCCTAGGACCAATTGGTCGATTGGTCCAACCGGTCCATTGGACCAAATGTCTTGTTGGACTGGTCCATAGGACCAATAGACCTGTTGGTCCGACTGGTCCATGGGACCAACGGGCCGGTTTGTCCAGCAGGTCCATGGGACCAACTGTCTTGTTGGTCCCACCGATCCATTGGACGAACTGGCCGGTTGGTCCAACCAGTGCATAGGACCAATTGGCTGGTTGGTCCTACTGAGCCATTGGACCAACTGGTCGTTTCGTCCAACTGATCCATAGGACCAACTCGACGGTTGGTCCAACCAGTCCATAGGACCAAGGGGTCGGTCGGTCCAACAGGTCCATGGGACGAACTGGCCGGTTGGTCCAACAGATCCATGGGACCAACTGTCCGGTTGGTCCATCAGGTCCATAGGACCAACCGGCCGGTTGGTCCAACAAGTCCATTGGACGAAGTGGCCGGTCGGTCCAACAGGTCTATGGGACCAACTATTCTGTTTGTCCAATGAGTCCATAGGACCAACTGTCTGGTCGTTCCAACAGGTCCATAGGACCATAGCTGATATGGACTGGATACATAGCAGTTAGCTGCGCAGTTCTGGATCGTTATGTTTTTGTCATAGTGTCCAATATCTTTGGGGGAAAAAAACATTTTCAGGCTTTAACCAAGCTGCTCTTCTCTGAACTGCACTGCAGGGATCTGAGCTACACCGGGGTGGCTGGGTCAGTGCCATGGGGCATCAACAGCCTGGGGCAGCTGCAGGCCTTGTGAGTCACTCCAAACCCTCGCAGAGGAGTAATTTGAGAGTTTGCCAGGAACAATGGTTGTTTCAATGCACGCTGGTACATGAGTGATTATGTTTTATGGTCTCCCTATCTATTAAGGCTTATTAAGCGTGAACCTTCTACGCATGATAATTCACGATTTTCAGTCCCCGCCACAGGCATTCAGTTGAGACAACTGTATGTAACACTGTGTACCAGTAATGGCACGGCTCACAACCATCCACTCCCCCTCCCCCAACCACACCAGGTACGGCACCCCCGGCATCTTCTGCAACGACAATGCCACCTGCCCTGCTGCCCCTACGCCGCCCACCAGCCCGATGCCCCCTCCTGCGCCACCAGCCAATCTCACGCTGCCAGCTGTCACCGACTCCAGCTCCCCTGCGTCTGCCAACTCGTCTGCGCCCAACGCCACCTGCCACGTGTGCCAGAGCTACTGCCTCGGTTGCTCCTCCTCTGCACCCAGTGCGTCTCCTGCTGCTTCTGCTCGCTCAGTCCCTCCTGCACTGCCTTGTCCACTGCACAAGTTCCGTCACCCATTACACCTCGCATTTGTTAAAGTTTCTACCATCCTGAACCCACTCTCTCTCTCTCTCCCAATACTTTGTCTCTCTTGCTCGTTCGCTCTCCCCGTTCTCTTCCATCATCCAATTCCTTATCTCGTCTGGATTCTTCCTGTACGATTGTCATAAAGTCCCTCCATCTCTCCTTCTCCCACCACCGTATTCTCACAATCCTCTATCACACCGCTTGCCTCCTCTGCTCTGCCACCACCACCCCACTCTGACTAGAAGCCATCGCAGCCACACTTGCACACTCATTCCAAACTCTCATCACTATCATTGCCCTCTCTCCCTTGTTCGGTTCTCCCTCTCCATGCTTCAGCCAACCCCTTGGCTTCCACCAGTTCTCTCTCCCCGGGGGCCCTAGCAGCCGTAGTGGCGGCGGCACTCATTGCACTCCTTGCTCTCATCGCCCTGATCATCTTGCTCTGGTTCTGCTTCCGCCAAACGAAGCCTGGTAGGATGCTGCAATTTATTATGAACCGAACAAAGCCAAGCCGCCTGTGGGTGGCTGAATTGCCAGTGCATAAACAGACACTCAAAGACATTGCCAGTCACCTCTGCCTCCCTCTGTCTTCACTAAATTCTCTCCTCCTCTGCTGATCAGCTTAGTTTCCACAAAACAAATGCCTCATTCCAGCCCCGTTTCTTCCCCATGTCTTGCTTCTCACTCGCGGACACCCAGCAGGCCACCAACTTCTTCTCGAAGGTCAACCTGATTGGGTCAGATCCTAGACAAGTGCTTCCCTCTATCCACCCTCACCCCTCCCCCCATTGTCCACCACCCCTTCTCCACCACCCCCTTTCCCCCCCCTCCCTCTCCTCCCCCACAGCGTGCAAGCAGTACTCACTGGCGGACATCCAGCGGGCCACCAACTTCTTCTCGGAGGTCAACCTGATCGGCTCGGGGGGCTTCAGCGACGTGTACAAGGGCGTGGACCCGCAAGACCCGGAGGTGCTGTGGGCCGTGAAGCGCGCCACGGCCCTCTCCAACGACTTTATGAAGGAGGTGAGGGACATCACATATTTTAGCAGGTGAGAACGTGGTCCCTTCGCAAAAAACGAATGGTCTCACTGATCTTGGGAAGAGATGAGTACCAACATTGCGAAGGGATTACGTTAAGGGTTGAAATCATTCTAAAGACGAATGGATGGTTGAGCTGTAAAATCTATAGTCCAGAATAGGAGGGGAAATGTCCAAGTTAAGCTATTGAAGTCAACCACTTCTATAAGTCGATTTCAATATGCATGCCAGCAACAATGAGTCAAATTCAAACATGAGTTGGCTTTTCTTCCCATTTGCACCTTTTACAAACTGATTTTAGGAAGCCCACGCTTTTCAGAAGGAACGATGCAGATCTTCATGTCTCAAAACCTCACTGTTGTTGCTGCAGCGCGCGAGGCTGCTAGTGGTGCTGGGTACTGCATCAGCTACAACTTGGCTCTCACGCACACCTCGTTCTTTTACTTGGTCTTCCTGACCATCGTCCCTCTCCCAGGTGGCAGACATGGCACGGCTGAAGCACCCAGCACTGGTGCCGCTGCTGGGGTACTGCATCGACTACAATGAGGAGTCCCTGCAGATGGAGCAAATCATCGTGTCCCAGTTCATGCCCAACGGGGATCTCTCCCAATGGACCATGCCAGGTGCGATTAGGCCAGCAGGGCTTGTTCAATAAGGTTTGATGAAAGGCGTTCACATCCTTCAGAATACAAAGGATGGCAGTACACTTCGCATGATGGTTCGTAGTATAATAGAGATAACGTTGACAAGAAAGGTAATGATACTGTATATGTATATGTATATATATTAGTGGTGATCCAATGAAAGAACGATTCATATTCAATAAATATGTTGAATGATGACGTATGTCGAATGATGAGGGAGGCAGTTGGGAGAAAGTAATAGAGGGTGGAAGAATGGGGAGCCCTCCCATCCCATCCCTCTATACTCCCATTCCCCAAGCCCTCCTCTCACTGCTTCCCCATGCCCGTGCCTTTCAGGAGCCAAGCCTGCAAGCACCTGTTCTGGAGGCCCTATTCATTTTTCCATGTCTGCACCGCATCTCCCGGGAGCCAAGCCCACGACTTCATGCCTCCATTCCTTCATTCCATCGTGCCCTCTTCATTCTCCTACGCCCCCACCTCCCAGGAGCCAAGCCCATGTCGCTGCGTGTGAGGCTGGCGGTGCTGGTGGACGTGGCGGATGGGCTGAGCTTCCTCCACAGCCGTCGGATTGCGCACCGCGATGTGAAGCCGGCCAACGTGCTGCTGGATGCAGACATGCGGGTGAGACCAGAGCTTGAATGAATGACTAGGCGCGGGTGAAAAATGTGCGCTGGATGCAGACACGTGGGTGAGTCATCCAACAGTACTACATCAGTTTCGAACTCCTGTTTTGCTTCCATTTACTTCCTCACTGTTCCATTGTCACTTGGCCCTGAAACCGCAAATGTGTCCCCTTCTTTCTGCAAACTTCTAACAATCTCCCTCTCCTTTACCTCTCCTCCTCCTTCATGCCATGCCACACACCTCTTGGAGAGCATCTCTCAACCAAAGGTGGTGAATTCGGGTTAACCCATCTCCTCCCTTCCTCCTCCATCACATCACCACCCACCCTCCCAAGCGAAGGTGGCGGATTTGGGGTTCATGCGAAGATGGAAGCGACCCACAGAACCCTTCTCTATAGCTCGAGGAGCCACCCTGTTCAACTTGTCCTGCCTGATCTCACTCCCTCTCCGTCGCCATGCGATGCACCATTTCAGGCGAAGGTGGCGGACTTTGGGTTCATGCGGAAGATGGAGGCGACCCAGGTGAACACCACGAGGGTGATGGGCACACCGGGCTATGTGGACCCCGAATACCTCCAGACCCGCCTTGCCACCACCGCCACTGATGTGTACAGGTGAGCGGTGCTGACCGGTGGTGGTGCCTTGGTGCTGCATCGTGTGGGCATGGGTGATGGGAGCATCAGGCTATGTGCACTCCAAATAGCACCACGGCATCTTGACATCACTCCCACCAGCACGCAAAGTGTCTTGTGATTTGCATGGGGTGGATATTTTTTAGGCTTGAGGCGCCTAAGAAATAGGCTCTCCAAATAGCACCACGGCATCTTGTCACTCGCTACCACCAACACGCAAAAGTGTTTTGCAAACAACAGAGGGTGGATAACTGTGTGCCTGGTAAACGTGCATTTGTGTGCATCGCTGCATTGCCAGCTGTGAATCTGCAGCAGCTGCTGCGGATCCTCGCTGAGCATGACTCCTTTCTCCGCCACTACACCGACCGACTACCCGTATCTCAGTTGACTACAATAATAACAACCAATTCTCCTTCAGCACCACTTCTCTCTCCTCACTCATCTCTCCTGAACGACCACCCCCCCCCCTTTCCCTCAGTTTCGGAGTGCTACTGCTGGAGATGCTGACCGGTAGGGAGCCAATGCTGTCAATCCATGGCTCACAGTCACACATCCGGGACTGGGTGAGTCATTCTTGAAACACCTCAAAAGCCCATTCTTTCAGTCGATGCCATGAGCACATTCAGGAGTGGGTAAGTCATTTTTCGTATCCAACCAGTACCTTGCAATTCATCCTTTCTTTTGATGGCTAGCATCACACATCGGAGAATGGGTGTGTTTCATTTTCCTCATCTGTATGCCGAAGTCCACTCGCTGCCTCGGATGACTGTTGAGTTGACTAAAAATTCTCTCTCTTCGCACCCACTCTCTCCCATCATGCAGGCGGCTGCCGAGCTCTCCAGTGGTGACATCAGCTCCATCATAGACCCTCGGATGGTCTCCCCTGCAGCATCTGGTGCCAGCATTGTGCATGCTGATGTCATGAAGAGCCTTGCATCCCTGGCACTGGCATGCACGGCCATGCCTGCTGCCTCTCATCCCCCCATGGCCAAAGTGCACTCACAGCTGAAGCAGCTGCACGAGGAGGTGGTGAGGCGGGAGGGGGAGAGCATATCGCAGCAAGGGAGTGGGCTGGGGGGGCTGGGAACGGGGGGAGGGAGTTGGCTGCAGAGGGATAACCGTGTGTGCCCTGCAGCTGAGTCTGCGGTAAGGAGTGTGAGTGCGGTGAGGGGAACGACGGATGACGAAGGCAGTCCTGAAGAGGATGAGAGCTTGACTGATGGGGAGGAGACAAGTGGAGAAGCAAGTAGGAGCACGGGTGATGAACACAACTGAACGGACCACGTTTGAGATATTATGGTACAGTGTGTATAAATACGATATGGTATGTTGAAAATGCGAAGCTTTTATGCGGATCCAAGCGTTTGAGTATGAATGGGGTACATGCGATTAAAAAGAGGAGTCGCAAGTGCTACAAATTGAATCCGTAAATTCCATCATTGTTAATTTCTACTGCCCCATTGAGTTAGAAAATCTATTTTATTATACGTGCATCCATGGCCCTGATTGATTGAATTGCGTTTGTGCTTGCCTAGGTGCGTCCACTGCTGCCGCACCCCTCTCCACTCTCAACTTCGGTGCCACCCATTGCTTCTTTCGCAACCGCACCACCCTTTTGCTGCAACCAGCTCCTATCGCAGCTCCGTGGCCGACCCCGCATCTTGGCCGGTCGTCGCACGCAGGGCTTCTGCACTCCCTTGTCCAGCATGCAGGGTAGCACTCCGGTTCGCTAACCAACTTAGTTAAAAGGGCATGTTTCCTTGGTGGGTTAGTGCACACATAACCACTTCGGCCCAATCCAGTGTCCATTTCCAACACTCCCCTCACCGAGAGGGCCCACCACCAGGGCACAGGAAATCGTCGACAGCAGAAATTGAATCCTGATCCTCCACAATCACCGCACCGTGCAAGGATAGCACTCCATTTCGCTAACCAACTGGGTTAATGGGCATGTTTCCTTGGTTGGTCAGCGCACCCATACCCCCCCCCCCCCCGCGACGACACCCGTAGCCCTTGGGGAGACCACTTCGGGCCATTCCATTGTCCATTTCCAGCACGGCAGTCCCCACATAGGTCTACACATCTCCTCATTCTCCATGAACTTAGTAAGTGCCAGTCGCCATCAGGACCTCGACATCATTACCACGTTTCCTGGGCACGAACGGTGTGCGTCCTCTACGGATGCTTCCTATGAGAGGATCAAGACTTCACTTCAATGTTCAACAAGGAGCCTAGGCATGACTACGTGACTATAGAGGCACGATACAAGGCAGGTAACCTGGATGTTACAACAAGGTATCGAGGCTCCAAAACTGGCAAGAATATAGTTTTTCAGATCCGGTAGAGTCATTCAGTAAACAATCACGTACATGAAAGGTCACACGAGATAATGCAAGATAGTGCTAGAAAACAGCACAAAAATGGTGCATGGAATCATATTTGGTGCAATAACTGAAATAAGCGCTAATAGGAAAGGAGCGCATCAATCAAAATAGAAATCCGAAATAGGATAATCAGGGAGGAACGGACGCACACTCTCACACTACCACTAGGGCACCTCTTGCAACGTTCCCTCGAGATTTTTCCAAAATTTCCATGATGTACACTGCATCCACCCACGTTCCTGCATCTGGTTAGGTAGTTGTGCCGTGCTCGTGTCGGTCGCTCACTCACCCGTCGCTCATGTGTCACTACCATCTAGGTCACCCCGCTCTCCCGCGTCTCCGTCAAATGGTTCAGCATGGTCTTGTCTCTGGTCTCCCGTCGTCACTCCCCGCTCTTCGGCCCCCGTATGTGCCATTGTGCACTCCATGCATGGAGGCGAAGCAGCGCGCCGCCCCTACCTCCTCATTGTTTACCCCCATCATTGCGCCACTACAAACACTGCACATGGACGTGTGGAGCCCTGATGCCGTCCTTGGGCCGCGCCGAGAGCACTTCATCCTGGTCATTGTGGACCATTACTGCCGCTATATAACGGTGCTTCTATTAGAGCGGACGGCCGACATACCTGGTGCTCTCCTTCTGTGGATATTAGCCGTCTGCGCCCAGCACACCCAACGTGTGCTTGGTGCACACTGCAACCATAGTGGCGAGTTCGCCTCCAGTTGCTTTGGCCGATTCTATTGTGCAGAAGGTATCACCCAGGTTGTTGGAGTAGGCTAGAGCCCGCTTTGGTAATTATCATGGTTTTATTCTGATATTTCGCCATGTTTAGAGCAAGTTACGCTTTAAGGTTTGTCACATTCGCATAAATGTGAAATGGTAAGGGGAGGAGCGAATCGGGGTGTACAGAATGTACATCTTGTATATAATGAGTGAAGCGGCTAGCGAGGATGGGAGGCGAAGAGTCATAGGACGTTTCAAGGGATGAGGAGTGAACGGGGGAACTGGCGTCTGCTGACGCGAGGGGTGATGGAAGGGGGTGGATCTGCATGGGGAAGTTCCAGTGAGGCAGCACTTACATAAGCATGGGAGGATTGAATGTAACTCTACAGCACTCAACAAAGGCAGTGGGAAAGAGGCCGGGGAATGGCAGTGGATGGGTGTTTGTGAGCTTGCATGGTTGTTTCCCCTATTGTTCGCATGTACACACCAAGAAGCCAGTTGGATCAGCGTAGTTCCAGCTGGAGGCAATGAGAGAAAAGCAACACCCGCCGCGTCGCCACCCGCTGGAGGGACTCAGCTGCGCGTCATCCGTCTTGGTGGCAGAGAAGGGATACATCATTGTAGGGGGCATCTCGGTGAAGCAGGTGATAATAGACACTAGGGCGCACCTAGTGCTCATTGGGAAAAGGCTCGCGGAACAGCTGCAGCTAGACAGGCCCGAACGAAAGATAGAAGAGGGATTGTTGTTGAATGCACGTCAGTTTGAGTGCATGTCATTCTAACGTCCTGCCGAGTGCTTGTGCTATTTGTGCTTGCATGAGCATATGCCATTACGCATGGCTGTTGGATTTTATTATTTCTGTGTTTTTCTCCAAGTCTACATTATCATGCAGAAGAAATCCATAGCTTTCCAACAATACCAAGACTGCCTTATTCCGACCAAGATCGCCCAAATTACAAGATTTCTAAGTTTTGGAAATTCTATCTTATTTTGAGATGTTATCTATATGGGGACATGACTATAAAAGGATCTTTGGTTGGGTGGTAAGGAAGTCAACGTTGACCTTTGGATTGGGGTGGCTAAAAGTTTCTAGCATGGGTTGCAAATGTTGCAACACCTAGTCAAAATCCAACTAGATTGGATTTTGCATGTGACACCTCAAGGACCTCATGATGGGGGTTGCATCTGTGGAGAGTCACTCTACAATAGTCGTGAGCTAGACTACGGGGGTTGGCACAAACTCTAGTTGTCAAATGTTATATCTGCTACAGTTTGTTTAGGCTGTAGTGGGGTAGTTACTATGGGGTACAGTAAGTTTAGGGTTTCCTACCTGTACCCAACCCTTTCCTAGTGCAATCACTTCTCTCATTCTGACATGGTATTACGAGCCTAGGTTAGGAACCTAGGACCGCTAGTTCCTAAGGGCCCACCGTTCCGTTAGAAGCGCCCTCGTGTGCCCTCCCTTACTCGTGCCCTCGTGCGCCTCGTTCCTAGTGCGCCCTCGCGCGCCCTCCTTCTCCTGCTAGCCGCCCGCGCGCGGCCCGTTTTTCGAGCGCGTAGCCCGCTAGCCGCCCGCGCGCGGCCCTTTTTCTTCGTGCGCGCGACCCCCTAGCCGCCCGCGCAGTCGACGCCGCCCACGCGCAGCCCGCCCTGGCCTCGCGCGGCCCCTAGCGCAGCCCGCGAGCTGCCCGTCGACCGTCGCGCGCCGCCGCCTCGCGCCCGTAGGCCGCCGCCCGTTCGTAGGCCGCCGCCCCCTCGTAGGCCGCCGCCACCGCGAACGCTGCATCCCACACGTAGGCCGCCGCCCCGCACAACCGCAGACCGCGCACCGGCCCACCCTCCCTGCTCGAGCCGCGCCGCGCCGTCCTGACCGAGTCGCGCCGCCCTGACCGAGCCGCGCCGCCCTGACCGAGCCGCGCCGCCCTATTGTGCACCACCTGCAGCACCTACTGCTACTGCTACTACTGCTACTACTGCTACTGTTCCTAATGCTGCTACTGCCACTATGGCCAGTCCTACCATTCTCACTTTTGACGCTGAGGGCCGTCCGATTAAGTTTGATGTTTGGCTCGATGACCTGCACCTGTTTCTCCAGATCACTGCCAAGGACGATGTTTCCCTGTTTGACCACACGTCCGGCGCCGCTCCCGCACCTGCTGAAACTGCTGACAGTACTGCTCGCTCACAGTGACAGACCCGTGACGCTCATGCTCGCCTAGCCGTTCGCAGCCACCTGCCGTTAGATGAGCGCGAGCATTTTGGCCAGCATAAGACCGCTAAGGAGCTGTACGATGCTGTAGTTGCACGCTACTCCTCCCCTGCTACTGCTGCGATAGGCCGTCTCTCGCTGCCCTATCTCTTCCTGGATCTGTCTGCCTTTGCCACTGTAGCTGACCTCATCACACACCTCCGTACTAGTGATCTCCGCTACCGTGCCACGCTTCCCCCCGATTTCCTAGCTAAGAACCCTCCCCCGATGTACCTCACACTCTACCACCTAGTCACCCGCTTCCCTGACTCTCTTCGCACTGTCAGGGACCACTTTCTCGCCCTCTCCCCCACCGACCTCACTGTCGACCTGCTCGAGAAGGAACTCCTAGCAGCTGAGAAGAGCATTGTAGCTGTAGGTGCCTCTCGTGGTGACCCTCGCACTCCCTTTTTTGAGGAATGTTCCCCCTCCCCCCTTCTCCCCTCCATTGCATCTGCTGCTGCTGTCGACTACCTCGGTGCTGAGGGGGTCGGGGCTGCGCCTGCTCCCAGTGGGAGGCGCAAGGGCGGCAGGGGCAAGGGGGGCAAGGGTGGCGGAGGTGGCGGCGGGGGCGGCGGTGGTGGAGGGGGTCGAGGGGGCGGGGGTGGTGGCGGTGGTGGGAGTGGTGCTGGTGGTGGGGGGGTCAGTGGAGGAGCCGGGGGTGGTGGCGGCAGCGGTGGTGGGGGTGGCGGGGGTGGTGGTAGCAGTGGTGGCGGCAGTGGAGCTGGTGGTGGGCGCGGTGGAGCGGTGCAGCGTGGGGGATTCGGCGGTGGCCAGAGGCAGCAGCAGTAGCGTCCCAGCGAGACCCCGTCGCCCCAGCAGCTCCGTGAGTGCATCACAAAAACCCTATGCCAAGTTTGGACGAATTTTGATTTTGATTGTCTTCGCGTAAAAAAATCCGGAGCCAATTTGGACCGA